GCGCTATATATTGAAACTTGTAGTATGCTGACGATCCCCTATAAGACTAACTGAACAAGGATTTTGAAAAGAAATGCTGAAACAAACAATGTTTCAAGGTCACTATCAACATTCTAAACAGACTACATGTCAAGGGAGGGAAAAAAGCTTATTAATATAAATGGTTACTGATAGAGATGTGCAGGAACTTGAAGTACTCAGTCTGTTAGCCTTCGATTTTTCAAGAATTACATCCTTCATTTTATCTATAAACAAAAAAATCTCACCTTTCTGTATATTAAGGAAACAGAAGAAAGGGATTCAAGTTGAGGTTGCTTCAAGATAACCAGCGTTTAAAAGGACAAAGGGCACCTATGAAGCACAAACACGACACATATCGAATGTGTTGACGTGATTTTTCAAAAAAAAAAACGCTAATGTAGCGACCGAGAAAAAAAAAATTTGTTTCGTTTCAAAATAAAATTATAGAAACTCAAATATAATTTGGGTTATATTATTACGTCGCTATGACACTCCCTTAAGAGTTCAAATTAAAGTTTTGATCACGGTAATAAGGTTTCGCGTACTTGTTTTTAAAAATTTTGTAAGGTGTCGAAATCTCATTTAGACGACAAGATTTTATGTTGTTACATTATTTTGACGACACATTTTATATTAATTGCTACCTTAAATTTTAAGATTTGATACACTTATTATACTCAAATTTAATTCCATTATCTTGATTTCTTCTTACGGTTTTTCCATCCACTAAGTTTATTAACTACCCCACTTTCTATATTAATTTCCATCTTTCTTTCGAAGACTCCCACTTCAAAGTCTTAACCAACCCACTTACATTATCCTGTATAACTTCCATTTTAATTCATTGTAACCACCCTTTAAAAATCAAATTTTGCAACTCCATTATAAATGCAATTCACGGCCACTTCCTCTAGAATTAAAGAAAGAGATTGCCTCCAATTGTAACCAACCCCACTTACTATATCATTTTTAACTTCCATTTTTAATTTATTGCTAACCACCACTTCCATTTGAAATTTAAAACCATAACCATCCCAAACATTTAATACCCATTATGTTAAAAGAAACTGTTGCCCTTTTTCATAACTGCACATTTTTTTCACTTCCATTTTATGTGGAAATGCAACCTAAAAAGTCTATTTATACAAATCATTAATATTCCAGCACCATAGTTATTAATCCCATTTTGGTTGCTACTAATCACCGTCATTCTTTGGTGTTTGAAAATAAAAAATAAAAAAATCTCCTACGACCTCTATACCAACATTTTTCTCCCAAACTATTATACATATACATAAAATTATTTTGCCCTTTCTCCATAGACCAAGACACCTTGAATTTGAAATTTTTTTCTAAAGAAGAGGCATAGAAGTATGCTGCATTATATTTCTTATTGAACGCAAAAAGCGTATTCAAACTCCAAGCATTAAGGTAGAGGTGTTTCGGCTCCTTTTTAAGTGATGTAAGATTTATATGTTTTTCGTTTGCGTTAAGCATGTTATTGTATTACTCATGATGGAATTACCATTTAGTGGTTTACACGAGATATGAAGAGATGATTATGATAAATGAAATGGGATTATCAAAACCTACAATAAGCGGACTAACTAATCACCAATTCGCTTGAAATTGACGGTGATACAATCGAACAGAGTTTGCATTTCTGAAAATATATATTTTTACCATTTACTCAAGTGCTTCCTACTGAGTATTATTTATAGTACTCATCCCTACAAACAATTTTACAAGTTAAGATCGAGGCATGACAGTGGTTGGCATAATGGCAAGTGTTCGACGATCTGAAATGCTTTCAATTTCTAGTAAAAATTTCCATTTATGTAAATATTTTATGGATACTTAGATGACACTTTTTTTGAAATGCTTTTAATGTTTATTTTGTCTAGTTTTACAGACAATGCATGTTAACTAGAATTTAGAAGTGTTGGATTGACTATGTATGAAGTTTAATTTTTGCTCGGTTAAAATTTCAAATTTAATCCTCCTATTTGAAAATTGTATAACTTGGGCTATTGCGCATGTTTTAAAGTGAAATCAATGGGATTTGAAAGGTCTATGAGTTTTCTAATAGTGGCCTTTGGAATTTTTCAAAAATATTATCTAAAAAAAAAAGGTTATGCCCATTTTAGTAAACTGTGTCGTGTTGAATATGAGTTTTCTGTCCAGCAATATTTTCCTACTTCAAACGTTATCGTTGAGACCCCAATTTTTTATATGTGGTACATATAATGCTTTAGTCCCTATAAAAATTACATAAATTTTAATAAAAATTTGCTAGGCCAAATATATTTTCTTCCACTGTTGTCAAATTCGTAATTGCTGAATTGCCTCCAAATGTTTTCCAAAACCAAATTTTGCCATAATTGCTTAAATTTATGTGAATAATTACCTCCCATTATATTTTTATATGTTTCAAAAGCCAAAAACTTTCTAATATATAAAATATTTTGGGTAACATCAAAAGGGTCGAACCAAAGAAAGAAATAATTATTTTTAACGCTTCGAGTTTTGAGAATTCGAGATGTTACAGTTAATACGACATGTTAATTAAATTTTTTAAAATTCTTTATTTATATGTTATAAATTTAGTTTGCACTTGTTATTAATTTTTTTTGTCAAAATCTTTTAAATATGAGTATCTATTTATTATTTAATAATAATTTTGAGTTAAAAAAAATATAATATTTTTTATAAAGAAAAAAATGACCATGACAGTGTCCGAGAAATATCGATATCCGACACGTGTTGGACGCGAACACGTGGTAGCGTGTCCGTGTTACGGAGAAGGGCATTGAAACCGTAAGCTCAGAAAGTCCTAATGAGCACCTAGCTCTAGATGCACCTTAAATTTTTTTGAGAACGCTGTAAACGACCATATACTACCAAATAAATGTATGACTTGTGTTTATCAACACTTTTGCCAGCAACCAAGAAATATTGCAAGTCTACTAACCGTTTCAGTCGCAACATGGATCTGTGGAGAGCAATGAAAATGCAAGTACTTCCAACCACTTCCTGCACCAAATCTCTAAATAATTAATAGAAGGATTGGGCCAACAAATATATTGATTTAACAAAGGATAACAAGTTTCTATAGAATTGCGTAAGATTCCAATTATTGAACCTTCATTTTGTTTAGAGTCTACTATGGTTATGCTCTATGCTTTGCGTTATCTTGAAGTTTTGCTAGCATAAATCAGGAACATGCATATGTATAGTCTATTTGGAAGCCCATGTATGTCTGGTTGTGTGACGTGCGTGCATGCGAAGATAGAACTTTTTTTTTTCTTTTTTAGGGGTGGGGGGGCATTAGTCATCTTTATTCATAAAGCATATAGATGAAAGCACAAAACTGCCAGTAAATTAAAATGAATACAAAAAATAAAATTACTGCATAATGTACACTAAAACATGAAAAGTATAAACATAAGTTATAATAAAGAAACCTCATCACTTGGGAAAACAAAGGTCGATGGCTTCAAGTTGTGATAATCCTTTAAGCAACTTAATGGCTTGAAACCTAGAAGACGAAGAGGTCCAGTTGAAACTCTCTTAATTTCAGACAGCTCATCCGTCGAGAACATGATACTCTCACTGGCAAAGAAAAACTAATCAAACTCCAATTACTGTGTAAAGCAAAGGTACTGACGATGAGTAAGAAATAGAATTGTACTCCTGATTGATTTGGTCTTGAATTTGAGTGTATCCTCGGAATGTCATTTTAAGACCGAGGTTAAGGTAGAAAACAATGAGTAAGCAAATCATTTTATAAGCATGTACAAATATTGAATATATACCCTGTCCTCAACATATATAATTAGTCCCAAACTATAAAGCTGTGGCTTCTTCCCCACATGACACATCAAACATGATAGCACAACTTCTCTAATGATGGCGTTAGTTCTAAATTAACTAGTTCTTAATTGTAATTAACTTGTGCCTAGTGCGTGATTTATTAAGTGTAAACTAGGATGGGAAGAATTTAAGGGGGATAAAGAGTAAGCACAATTAATTAGAGTGACTACTCCAAATATGATTAATTACAGTAACTAGATGGTATTAGTCTTTATTCAATGATTAGTTCATGATGACTAAGATATAGCATTTAAGTAAGAAGCTGATGACAGACCCCCCGTACACTTTACATATGTGAGGCAGGGGAAGAGGCAAGAAGATTAACAATGCTCGCATGGGCTTGCCAGCAGTGGATGGATTCATTCTTGTGCCCATTTCATTAGTTAATTAGTTAGGAGGGAGGGAAGGCAGGGGGCCAGGAGGATTCTTACATCATTTCTGTCAAAATTGTTTACAACGACAATTTGTAACTAGGTTCTATCAATTTAAGTATTAGAGCAAACAACCCTGGGAAAATGGCAGCAATAAAAACCAAATGCGTGGGTACAATGGAGGAAAGGGTGGATGAAGTCTGATATGGCTTACAGAGAGAACTGGAATCTGTCAAAGGAAACTTGCAGATGCTGAATTTAAGGTCGAGATTGCACCGGCTTGATGAGCAAAGGAAAAGGAAAAAGACCCAGAGCTGCAAATGCCTCTGATTCACCTACATGGCTGTTGCATACCATTGAGAAGTCAAGGGGATGCCTCTCACTTTGAGCATCGACCTAGGAGGTTGGAGATACCTGTGTTTCACTCAAAAAACCAAACGGGAGGTTGTTTAGAGCAGAGCCCATTTCAAGGTGAAAAGGATAACGGACTGGGAGAAATTAAAGGACGTCATGGTAGTGCTTTGATTGGGGAGGCCTTGATTTGGTTCCAGTGAGGCCCACCGTCTGATGCGTAATTGGAGTGAATCGAAGACCCTCTTACTGGAGAAAATTTGCTCCTCCAAACAGGGTGACAGTTTGGGAAAAGTTTCTCACCCCTAGGCAAGACGACGTGGTGAATGAGTACAGGTGACTGTTTGAAGGGTTGGCTTTGCCACTGCCAACATAGCATAGGAAGTGCTCGAAGGAAACTTCATCTATGGCCTTCAACCTGAATTTCGGACTAAAATCCAGATGTTAAAACCAAAGGGATTGGCCCGCATAATGGATTTGGCCCAAATGGTTGAGGACTGCAAACACTTCTCTTGCAGCCCTAAGGTAGGGTGGGTCCAAATATGGGAAAGGGCAGGTGACTAATTAGATAGCCAAACACACCACACTTCCAGATCCAAGGTCTCTGGCTGCACCAAAAAATTTCCCACCCTTCAAATGCCTCACTAATGCCGAGCTCCAATTGAAGAGGGAGAATGGCCTTTGCTTCCCATGTGATGAAAAATATTCCATTGAACACCACTTTGGGAAAAGGAACTTCAGGTGCTGGTCATAGCAAAGTAAGTTGAATAGAGGAAGGCAACGCTGTTGAGCAAGACATCGAAAGGGGATATGGAATCAGCAATACCATAGAACTTTCCAACAATTCAGAACCATGAAGCTCAAATGGGTAATAGGGCAGCAAGAGGTGGTGGTGATCATTGACTGCAGTGCACCCATAATTTCATCTCTGTCAAGCTAGCGCAAAAAAAGGGGCTTTCATGGATGGGCATTTTGGATTATGGGGTTCTCATGAGCATCAGGTTGACTGTCAAAGGAGAAGTTATTTGCAAGGGCAAGTTTCAAATTTTGTAGAAAATTGATGTAGTTGAGGATTTTCTTCCTCCTGAATTAGGTAGCTCCAATGCGCATTTGGTATGGTTAGAAACGTTGGCAGGAGGGGAATACAAGTCAACTCACACACTAACCATGAAATTTAAGGAGGGTGGGGGCGATGATGACAACTCAAAGGGATCTTAGTCTGAGCAAATCTTTAATATTGTTGAAGTCGATTCTGAAGGCATTGAGAGAGCATGGAGGGGTGGGATTGCTTGAATTGTAAAATATCAGCATGGGGATCGAACCCACTAAGAATGAGCTTCCAAGTGCCATATGGAGGTGTATTGCAACCGTACCAGTCGTTTTTTGAATGCCCAACAATCTGCCACCGAACCAGTCTGCCCTGGTTGTCCAGCCCTACAGATCCCCCACATGAAAAAGTGACATTGAGAAGTTGGTTTGACTGATTCTAGCAGCTAAAATAATCAGCCTAGCATGAGCCTGCTCTCTAGTCCGGTTCTCCTAGGAAAGAAGGATGGGAGTTGGTGGTTTTGCAAGGATTATGGGACATTGAACATAATGACAATGCCCAACAAGTTTCCGGTTCTAGTGATTTATGAGTTGTTGGACATGGGGCAAGCATCTTTTCCAAAATGATAGTGTTTATTGGATTTGAATCATCTAAAATTACAGAAATAAATATCATCTGAAAATCTAATCATTGAATGGTTTGACTCTCGAGTAATCACAAAATTATAAACTATATGCTGACAAAACAGTAACCTTACTTCTTGTAAGTCTGAAAAAGTTTGGGAGTCCCTTGCACCAGAGCACCAGTATCCGCACAGATGAAAGATCTATCAGTCTGCAAAAGTGTAACGTGAAGTAAAGTTCAGAATTTATTATTGTTTCGACTCTTCTAAGTTTAACAATGACATAACGAAATAGAGATACTTATATGGGTCTTAATTCCACATTAGAAAGGTTCAAGCCTGTGCGACCATATACACATGCTGACTAAACAACATTTGATAGTACCTTTAGAGGAAGGTTAGTGACAGAGTCAAGCCAAGTGATTGTTCCTGAGACCAAAAGGCAAAAGAACAATAGTTCAATAACCAAATGAAAATATAATGTACTGCCCAATTGCAAAGCACAATACAAACCTGGATTAGTTGGACGAACTAAAGCGTAGGTATTCACTTCAATAGAAATGGCATCGGTAATGATAAACTTAAGTCTCCGTATTTTGCGCTTCCTGAACATCCGCTTTCTCAATTGGTCTTTCATGTCTTCAAATCTGAAATGAAAAGAATGATTTAGGAAATAATACAACCCATAATCTTCTGCAAGCGTTATGTCCAATGCGGGGCTAAAAACTAATCTTTTTACAAGAACAATACATGCAGACGATACCAAAACCAGCAAGGCAATTATCAACCAATATTTTCTTGGGAGACACGAAAATGTGAATTATTATAGGAATGCATTGTTTGCACAACTCAATATTTTCTCGGTAGACAACTATCAGTAGACTACACTTAATTGGAAAATGTGAATTATTATAGAAATGCATTGTTTGCACAACATCGGCAGACAAGCATTAATCAGAGATTTAAAAACCATGAAAATACCAAAGAAGGAGTTTACATGTCACTTAGTTTATAAGTTAGGTTCTGGTAAAAAAGATATGGGAAATTATTTAGTGAAGAACTACTGAATGCACACCTCTCTCCCACCAAGGCCTTAAACTGAGTCAGGTTGGTTCCCTCCAATCCAAGCAAGTCCTGAATGCATGAGAGATTGAATTAGATACTAAAGCAATTACAAGTAGAAGAAAATGAAAGAGCTTTAATTCCAGGTGTGAACATACAGCATAGAAAAGGGACACGTTGAACTCGTCATCTGGTCTAGTCAAGGGGAGAAGTTCAATAGAGATGCCAAGATCTTGAGCATCCTGAAAAGTATCTTTGAATTGTTTATGTTTTTGATAATATAATATTCTTAATGCAAGTCATGCTTTCAAATCTAGTGCCCTTGTACGCTCTAATAAGATTCCAACTCTATAAGTCTGTGCACTTTCATGCAAGCACTAGTGTATAAAAAAAATGAGTTATTACTTTGGCTCTCTGTAATGTCGTTCTCGTCATATCCATTTTTGTCATTCCCTTGATATTCCCAAAAGGATCATCCTCATTAGTGAATAATAGAATCCTTTTTTCAGCTGTTTTTGCAGACCTGACGTAGTCACATCACTGCCATTAGATACCAAATATCTCTTGAATGAAATATAACCATTTAAGAAAGCCTAGCAAATGATAAAAATCATAAACAATAAAATATACCCTTTACGCAACAGTGCTTGTGCAACCCAAAGAGCATTGTAAAGAGAATTATCACGAAACCCAGGTAAGATGCCATATTTGCTCCCAATCTCTTTACTAAATGATTCTGCATTCATAAACAATCAGGCAGAAAGCTAAAAATTCAACGCAAGTCAAAAAGCAGTACTCAATAGTAACCCTATAGCAGCTGAAATTTCAATGAACTATAATTTCAGTCAATACAAGAAAGTTAAGCAAGAAGTTACTTCAGTAAAATTTAGACCTCAAGTTTGTCTAAATATATGGTTTTCTTTCACTGGACAAATATCTGAGCCAAGTTGAAACTCAGAAGAGATTTGTACGTTTCCTATGAAAGGACAAGGGAACTTATTTGATCGTCTTTAATAAGAGTTACAGAAACACGCTTTAAGTACGCATAGATCTACTAAATACTTCTTCAAATTCCCAACTTAAGGTGCTAAACAAGAATGAATGTACGAAAAAGAGAAAAGGCAAAACAAGTAATCCTGCCGGACAAGTCTCAAGTCATTTTCAGTGAGTGGGTTCCTTTCCAAAATGGTGAGCTTTTCTAGGTTGTTACAAGAAGATAGAGCCCTCCTGCTCGTGATCTTAAATGCTTCAAACTAAGATAACCATGGATCATGAAAGCTATATAACTCAAGCTGGGGACTGGGTGTGGGGAACGGGAGGATCTAGGTGTTGAATACACAAATTAGCAAATTATATGACACGCGGATATGAATTGTGATAGCAATGTGTCTCGAGTTCATGTGCATGGGGCATGTCATAATAACAGCAATAAGAAAATTTTAAAATGCTATAAAGAAGTTTATCTCGAACAGCATTTATAAGTTATAAAAAATTTCTTGTATTGCATTTCCAGAAAAAAATATTTGCTAATTGATTTTTTAAAATAAAAAATGAACAATAAGGTACTTAGCTATTAAAATGAAATCATCTAGTTTTTGGAACTTGTAATTGGATTGGTACAACATGGTATGATGAAGTGTCAAAGTAAATAAAGAAAAACAATGTCTTCTCATCGAAAAATAACACTATTTAAGAAGTTTCATGATTTAGGAACTTGGAGATCAATGCATGATAACAATTCAACACAATAATCTGTAATCAACCAGTTACCAGATGACGACTTACCTTCAATAGAATCAAATTCTTTGATAAGCCTAGCAGTTGGCCTGTCTAGTTCCTCTCGTTCAGGAACATTAAAAACATAAACATTATTTGAATCCTGCAAATTCTTCCTTTCCCTCTGGAAATCATGTAAGCAAACAAAGCATTTTAGATGAAGTTACTTCAATATTAGAAACCAAGCTTACTAAAAGATAGTCTTTTAGAATATACGGTGAAATCGAGTAGATATACACAGCAAGTTTGCGAATAATTAGACCACTGTAATCTGATGCCAGAACTTACAGTATTAAAGAAACATATTGCAACTTCATCATAAGACCTATTTATAATTTGAGTTCTCAAAGATTGTGCTATGCAACTGACAGCAACTTGAAAGTGAGTAACGTCCTTCTGATCTTCCTGCATACATTCAAAATTTATCAGCAATCCATACTCCGGTATCAAAAGGAGAAGTGCAAAAATACCATTGAAACTTAATACATCAACCCACGCAGAAAGAGAGAGAGAGAGCCAACTGGCTATTATTTATAGACAGCATTGGCAGTAACAAGGTCAAACTGGCCAAATTCTCAGATTCAAAAACGTAGTTCAGTTCTGCAGTTCGGTACAACTGGATTTAATGCATGTGGGAACAATTCATAGGGTATTGTTAGTTTATCGTATGAAGTTTGCATCAAGTGCAATAGATCAGAACTGTCTAAAGGGGGGAAAAGAACATTTCATTAGCCCATTTCAAGAGCTTACACAAACAGTAAGTCAACAGGTAAGTTATGAAAAATTCAAACAATTCTCCCTTCAGTCTTCAGTAGGAACTCAAAAAAGAATTCAATGGTGTGTCAGGGGACCCTCTTGTTCGATTTTCAGAAGATGCTTATGTTTATATAATTTTTAAATCAAATCCACTAACTAACTTTATTTTAGATTTTAGACATATTTGTCGAAACTTATGTTTTTCATTTTAGTTTACAATCAAATTAACTTAATGGAGTGACCAATAAAATGACTTGAAAACCAATACTAAATTTGACAATATAACAACCACACTTCAGAACCTTAATATTTATAAAATATTGAAAAATGGGAATACTAATTTAAAAATATCAATTCTCAACACACGATTATAGAAATAGACATTTTAAAATAATAAATGGTTAATCTAATATAATAATATTAAGTTCAAATGTTAAAATTGAATAATTTAATATTTGACTAATAATAATTTGAAAATATGAAAATTTAAAATTAAAGTACTGTGAAAGATAAACTTATCACTTATTCTTAAAATTTAGCATTTAATTAATAAATTGTTAATTGTTAAAGAAGCCAATCATTATCCTTTCACCAAAGTAACAAGGTATTAGTCCCTGTTTAATGGCCTTTAATTCAAAACTCTTTTTTCTACATACTCATATTCAATCATATATTTTTAAAATAAAATATTTTGCACGAAAACTCAAAACTTTTCTCTATTTTTGAATTACACATTCTCCAAAAATTCATTATTCAAAACATTGTTTATCCAAATAATGGCCATCAAACATAGGCTTATTTTAAAAAAAGCTGGAGTCAACCACAATAATCTTTTCATGTCATCCTTTGATTATAAAGGTCCAATAAAGCTTTGCTTAGGCTTTGGAAACCCCACTGAAGTCGAATTCCCATGCCAAGTCATCCTGTAAATGTCTCACAACCACGTAAGACCATATTAATTTGGTCTACCTCTACATCCTTTAGATCGTTCCATTCTGGTGATCCTTTAAGCACAAGGCAATGTAATTGAAATGAGGTACAGCCTATATCACCTCATTTCTCCAAATCATGGCTTTTCTTTTCCTGTCATAGAGTCATGCTAAAACCAGGATCCTCAAAGGTTTGGCAAAGAATATGGCCTAGTTAAGTAAAATAATTTCTTAAAATCAAAGTATCTTGTTGGTAGGCTGCAATGATCTTTGGTATTATTAGAACTGGTTCTATGAAACTGGGAATATAGCATCTAACTCTAGGAACTCGTATCTTAATATAAAGATGGTGTAACCCTCGATTAAGGAATTCAAAGACGTTAGCGAGCTTAAATTTCTCTTCTCCCATCTCTGCTATAAGTTACATTCACATCCGCTTATTCATGCAGTATCTCTCTTTCTCTTCCCCCTCCTAGACGTGGCAAGGGTGATAACAAGCACCTTCTGTGCTTATTTTGTCTGTGCCTCTATTAACATTCGAATTCAGAACAGAAATATTGATAATATTATAACTGAATATGTTATTGCAGTTTGTGGAGAGTGCCTAAAAGTTGCAGCAGAGAGTTCAACAGATAAACCTACAGGTTCGAGTATCGGGGGGGGGGAAATGTTTTTGAGGGTTTCATGATGAAATGAATTGATCTGATGTCCATCTGAGACAGTGACAGATTGATTCATGGAAGATTTGTGAAGCTAGGGAGCAAATGGTTTCATATTTCATCATTTCAAAAGCCATGGCTCCATTCTACGGGTCATCTTCATTGTATCTCCACGTCAACTTGTAAATGCGTGTAGACTTTACGCAGAATTCTGAAGTAAATAAAACTATAATATTAAACGTTTATATGGAATCAAAACGGTAGCAAAACTGAAAGTACAGATGAATAAGAGATTGTTTTTGGTTGAGGATCATAAGATTAATTTTTCAGTGTGAGGAATAACAGAATCCTAATAATTTACTTTGAGGAAGAATGATTTGATTTTTTCCCCTTTTTTTTGGTCTCCAGGAGCTGGGAGAGATCCATCAAAATCCTGGAGGGAGTGTAGCATTCCAAAAGAATAAAGGAACCACCGTGAAACCAATCAAATATTGTCGAACTTTTATCAACCAAAAAACTGCTTCCTCCCCAGCAAAAAGCAAATAGTAAAACTAAGTAATATATATATATATATATATATATATAGAGAGAGAGAGAGAGAGAGAAATGCAGTAAAAAGAAATGAAAATCAACAGGAATATGACCCTAACATAGAGAAAACTAACCGAAGGGCAAGTAGTGGAGAACATTTTGGGGGAAGCATCTACTAAGTACACCAACATCTCTTTGGTGGAATCTCGTTCCTGCAAAATGAAAAATACATATTTATAAGTCAAAATACTTCAAACCCACAAATAAAAATTTACAATTTACAAACTCCTAATGGGCAGATTACAAAGAAAGCAAGTATGAGCGAGAGATTTGAACCTGAAAAAGTTCATTTTCTGGGTCTTCATCGTCCCGAAACACATCGTCTGGGTCAATATCCATCACTGGGCACTGATTATTTTATTCCGCAGCAGATCAACAACTCCTTGTGTACCGGTGTGGTGTGTAGAGTAAAGGGGCAACAGATGAAAACTGCAGCGGGTTTATACATAAGCTTCTACTCCTTTTCGTGTACCCCCGCCTTCCATTAGAAGCTTTGAAAATTGGTCCGTTTCAGTAAATACCTTCCATCATCATAAAAATAAAATAAAAAATGAGAATTTGGTTTGGGGATTTTAGGCGCCCGTTTGAATTCCATTTTTGCTAAAAAAAAAAAAAAAAAAAAAAAAAATTGTATTTTTGAATAGAGTATTAATGGACAATATGTCATTAAAAGTGAAGAAAAATTATTTTAATAAAAAGGTGTGATTGAAATTGAGTAAAATCACTAAAAGTGTATTTTGATGAAGATAATGAAGCTCAAAGAAGGGTTAAATAACATTTCTTGATGTTTGACCCCAATTTTTAAAATTTATTTTAAATTATATAAGAAGTTTATAATTTTTATCAATTTTTTAATTATATATTTTATGAACTTTAATCAAAATTTCATAAATATTTAGAGCTTGTTTGGTAGGACTTAAAAGCCAATTAAAATCAATTTTTTGAACGTTATTCCACTATTTCAACCGTAATTTTTTTTTGAATTTTTCTCTCACAGATATGATCCACTTTTCCTCTAATGGTCAAAAAATCAATTATCAAAATTCTTACCAAACAAGCACTTAATTTTTAAACTAGCAAAACAAGAGTTTTGTTTCACCTACAATTCCCCCAAGTAAGCGGGAAGGTCAACAAGGGACGTGATGGAAATGGAATATTTTTGTCTTGTTTGAGCTCCATTTTTATCATAAGAATGAATTTTTGAATAATGTGTCATTAGAAATGTATGGTTAAAAAATAAGAAAAAATGTGTGTAATATTATTTTATTGAAGAATGTATTGTTGAAATGATGACAAAATATTATTTAAAAGTGTATTTTTTTCCAATGAATGAGGTTCAAACGTGGGCTATATTATCTGTGTGGTTTGTTTAGGTTAAGTAGCATAATCTAATGTGGAAATTACACCGCTCCTTTAAAAATTCAAAATTCTAAAATTAGATTTATTGTTTCATTATTCAAAAATATAATATCTTATATTTAAATATTAAATATTATAGTACAATTTTTATCACAAACCTTACTTAATTTTTCATTTCATTCATCTCTTTTTATCCCTCTCCCATCTTGTCTCTCTCTATCCTTCCCTTACTCTTCTTCGACGAAGATGCAGTAATCGTCGCCGCTACCTCTATGAAGACCCTGTAGCCGCTATGAAGACTCAGTTGTTTGGTGGTGACGTTTTTTCCATGGGCATTGCAGATCGGGGATCCTTTCCCCCATTTTCTGCTGTGGTAAATTTGTAGTGGGGGTGTGCAATGAGTGGTTGGGTGCGGTGCGGTGCGATGCTGCTCTAGATCTGACCCTACAGTCAATGAAGAAACACCAAATGAGGGCGTTGGTAAGTCACAATGTTGTGTATCTTGTTTTTTTGAGAGTATTAGTTAGTGTTTGATATGGTTTATTTTCCATGGAAAATGTTTCCTTTTGCATGTGTTTGATAACATAAATTTTCTAAGAAATTTCTTTTCCTCCCCCTCCCCCTCCCCCTCCCCCATTATCACGCGATGAATTTTCCTTCAATTGGTGGAAAATCAATTCTCACCATTTTTGGGAGAACTGGGGTTTTCCAGCCTTTTTGCTATTTTTAGCAATGGGAATAAAATGTATCAACAATTGTAAAAAAAATTTATCCCTCTAATTAACAATTTTAATAAAAAACAAGGTCAAAGAACACCAAAAATTTCAACATTTTCTAGGTGAAAAATTATACCAATCAAATATATTTAATTAAAAATTCCAAGTAAAACAAATTTTAGATGAGTCAATTCCCTAAAATTTCGTTATCTTTCCACCCAAATTCCATTATTGCAATCAAATGAACCCTTAGTTCATTCTCTGAATAGAATTAATATGTTGTTTTTGTGGCAGTTCCACCGTCAGCAAAGCTTCACACTACTGTTCTTAGAAATTGCTCTCAGAATTGATAATTTTCTGTGCCCTTTTACTGTGAAAGCGGTTCAAGAACTACTTGAAAAAAAGGGTACATTAAATGGTGATAGTGATTGTGGTTGTGGTGGTCGTGGGTGGGATGAGATGATGCTAGATGTTTGTGACTAATTATTTGGTTGATTGTGACTAATAATTGATTAATTTGTAATATGTAATCTAAAAATTGTAATTGTGACTCAGAATTGATTAAGTTGTGATCGAAAAATTAATTGTGATCAATTAATCTAATAATTTGTAATGAATAAATAAGTTGTGATCAATAAAAATTTTGATTCTGTGATCAACGAATAATTCGTGACTTATAAAATTTATTATTCGTGACAGAAAAATAATGTGACCTATAAAATTTTTGATTTGTGATTGAGAAATAAGTTGTGATAAATAATTTGATAAATTGGGACTAAAAATTAATCCGTGACCTAAATATATTTAATTAATAAAATAAATAATTAATTAATTCATAAATAAATTTTAATAAAAATCTGATTTTTGAAGTTTGAAACTTTTTTTTTTTTTGGAAATATGTGATATTTAAACTCTTACTTATGAAATTCTCCCTAATATAATTTCTTCCATAATTGCCATGGCCCAAGAAGTTTATTTTATTTTTTAATTGTTTAGGTTAAGCCCATGTTTGACCCCTTGTTTGGGCTTCATTCTCGCCACAAAAAAAAAAAATAATACATTTTTGAATAGTATATTGATAAGAAATATATAGTTAAAAAATAAAAAAACTTTTGAATTTACGTGTAACAAAAACAATTTCATTAAAATAATGGAGTTCAAACAAGGGTTGAATGAGCTATTTTCTTATAATCACTTTTTTGGAGCACTGATTGTTGCCTATAATTAAGCCCCCGTTTGGCCCTCGTTAATTTCTATTTCATTACATTTCATTTTTCTTTCTACTATTTTCAACCCCACAATCTTCTATAAAATAATATTACGCGTAAATCAAAAAATTCTCTTTCCGTTTTAACCACTCATTTTTCAAAAAAATACTATTCCACCCATTTTCATTCCAAAAAATGGGGACCAAACAGGGGCTAAATAAAAATACTTTTATGTGTATGTGCGAATCTAAGTCACTTAATTATAATTTAAAATCAAGTTACATTATTTAATTTCTCATTTCAACCTTTTTGCACTCGTACAATGTAATAGAAGTTAAGTAGATCTATTTATATTAAGCGTTCGACAATAAAATGCGACCATGTTGATTAAGAGATTCGGAAGTTCTTATACTTTATAGGCTACCGTTAATCATCATACTTTAGAAATTTAAATCAAGTAGTATTTTTTACTTGATATATATATATATATATATATATATATATATATATATATATATATATATATATATTGTGTGTGTGTTTATTTTGTTGTTTTATAACTTTATAACTTTTAATAATTTTAATCTTACTCAGTACTCTCCTTAGTTTTTTATAAATCTTTTCTTAGAATTATGTATAAATCCCTTTCTTTTTTTTTTCCACCACCTATAACATATAAACTTGAACCTGATTTCTTTCTATAAGGTTACCCGTGGCACTCTCTTATAAAATTCTTAGATGAATTTATTCTTTTTCCCCGGCATCTTTAGAAAGCATTAAAGGGCTCATTCCGGCCAACAGTTTTCTTTTATCTGGGTCACTTAGAATTAACCTAAAAACAGTATAGTTTCTAGAAATCAAGTTATACTTTTATTATACGTATATGATGAAATGATTTATCAAATATTTACATAACTAAAGATGCATAAAACATTAAACATTAAATAGGGATTTATAAATTTATCTTTAAAGATTTACAACTAAATATTTCCCTTTCGGAAAGTCCCTAAAGTTCTTAAAATAAAATATTAAGAAAACAAGAGTATCTTCAAATATTCACAAGTACTTTAGCTATATAATGATTTTTGATTGAGAATTTTTCTATAAGGAGGTTTTCAAAGGGTTTTTTTGGATAGCAATGATTACACAAGTTGTAAACTCCTGCCTTAACCAAATGAAATGTACTCCTTATATAGAGAAATTATTGGGAGCAAAAAGTCTAATCTACCCTTACTAGGAAAGACACTCACTTCACCGAGAAGTTTTTGGCCAATCAAAAAAGTCTCTTTAAACATTAGTGGGAATCTTTCTTTTGTAAAAGTCTTCCACTATGCCGGGAAATCTTTACTGTTTTCTCTTTATGTCTTGTTGAAGCATCTGTTTTTTGAAAATTCTTTGTCTTCTTGCGTCGACAATCTCATCTTATCATTCCATAGCATTTATGATATTTCTTTCTATTGTAGGTGAAAATGACATTTCACTATCTGAATTATTGAACCCTACATTTTCTGGATCTTCTTCTCCATTATCTGGTTGAGATTCGTTTTCTTCATTATTTTCTCTTTGTAGATTTTTTGGAATCTCTTTTTCTTCTTCATTTTTCTTTTCAAAGACTGTCTCAAAAACTTTTTTAACTGCTTCTCTAATTTGTTCTTTTAATTCTTCATCATTTTTCTTCTTCTTAATTTGAATCCTTTTCTTTCTTCTAGATGAAGTTCGTTCGTCTTTTTTAAACTGATTTTGGAATTTTTCAATTTGAGAGAAAATCTTTTCTAAAGAAACGGCATCTTCATTTGGATTTTGGGCATCTTGAAATAATGTTCGATCTTGTCTGTTTTGAACAATTATCTTACCCTTGTCTTGGCTAGAATGAATTTCTTGGATTTGAGATGAACTTTGATTATCAAGATAATGTTCTGGTGGACTATATTTGACATAATAATCAAATTTACCACTGGGCTGGCCCAATAAATCCCAAATTTCTTTATCTTTATCTGTAGCTGGTTTATCAGTCTACTGTGTCTGATTTTCTGATCTAGTAGAGGAATCAACAATCCTATGAGTCTGTTGGGCTTTTGGCAAGTCCACGGCCTTTAACGGGTTTGATAAGTTTTTACCAGTTACCGTTTGAATTGGACTAGCTATTGACTTCTTAGGCTCAATAGTACCTCTAGATAAACTGAGCTTTAGCCCAATTATCTCTTTTTTAGGTTCTGTGATCTTTCTTTGTAGTGAAGATCTTTGTGTCGTAAGAGTCTGGTT